CCCTGGAGGATAGGCCTATTATGGCTAGTGAAAGTGCCGACGATATTAACGTTGGTGTTGCCCTCAGCACTGCTCTTCTCCTTCCGAAGGATTTGAACCGAAATGCTGAGCTTAGTGAGTATGAGAATTACGCTCTCATGCTCCAACACTCCGTTCAGGTAAGTGTTCCTGTTTGCACTCGCGATTCTTCCTTCCTGTTTCTTACTGAGAATATTTTCTAATACTTCTGTTTTTTCTTCAGGCCATCCAACACGCCCATTCATTTTCAATGCAGTCTTTTGAAAATCGGCAAAGGTTGGTTGATATGAAGAGGGAAGCATCTTCCATGATGAAAGAGATCAAATCTCTTGAGTCAAGGATGAAAAAATTGGAAGATCAGGCCGAAGCGGCTACTAAGGCCCAAACTTTAGCTCTTGAGAAGGCCGAATCCGCTGAGGCCGTTAAAAAAGTTGCTGAGGCTGAGAAAAGAGAGGCCGAGGCTAAGAAGGCCCAAGCGGAGAAAGAGCTCCAGCAAGCTCTGGCTACCAAAGAGGCCGAAGTCAAAGAGGCCGATGAAAAGGCCTATGCCCAGGGATGGCCGACGTCGTAGAGGATTATAAACTTCAAGTCAGGCAGGCATGCAACAGGGGATTTTCCCTTGGTTGGATGTCCCTGATAAAAAAACTTGATCTTCCTGTTGACTCGCCCTTTCGTAAGGCCGATGCCATTCCTTTACCATTTCCTCCTCCAAGTCAGGTTGAATCAGAGACTGAGGCTGATGCCGAAGATGAGGATGAAGGAAAAAATGATGATGAGGCCTTGGTGAGAAAACCCAAGGATGCTGCTGAAGCTAAGTCCCCTCCTCCTGCTGAGCAAGTGATGGATTTAACCTTGGAGGAGGAGGGTGATGAGGTTGGGGGGGCACCCAAGGAAATTGCCATCGGGCAACTATCATCCGACCTTCTTTTGGCTGAAAGAAATCTAGACAATACGTTGGCTGAGATTGATGCTGAGATTGAAGCAGAAAAGGTTGCCGAGGAGGTTCCACCAGAATCGTCCGAGGTCCCAGTGCCTGCAGCGGCTAATACTGAAGAATCTTGAAAAAATGTCTTTTGTACTTTTCTCTTCTTTTTTTGCACTTTGCAATTTGTACTCTCTTTTAATTTCTGGACAATGAAAAACTCCTTCTTATGGCCGACGTAGCCTTTTCTTTATGTAACTGCAACTGTTCCTTCTATGAATGTTTTTAATCTTCTGATGTTCTGTTGATTGCTTCTGCAAAGCTCTATACTTAGAAATTTTTGCATGCTTTTCCATTTTGCTTCCTTTGTGCAATCTTCTCGGGGTTACATACCTCGGGTATAACTACAAAACTTTTACTTCGGCAAGATACTGACCTGCAAACTTTTCATAAATTTTAACAAGTATAAACATATACTACTTAATGTAAACTTTGCAAGTTTCTTCTCAAGTTTCAATAAGTATTAAACAGTGATCTCGGTCTATCATACTTGTAAATTGCTACAAATTTCAACAAATGAATTAAGGAATAATCTGGGCTTAACTTCAACTTGTAAATTGCTACAAATTTCAACAAGTAAAGATAAGAAATCAGCTTAATTCTAACTTGTAAATATTTTAACAAGTGAATTAAGGAATAATCTTTGCCTTTTCTTTGCCTCCAATGTGAACCTGAGTTTGACTTGGGTTCACATTAATTATGTCTTCAATAAACATCAATGCATAACTTTATCAATCATATGTGTTGAAAGAATTCTGAAAAGACTTTATTAATGATATCGGCCAAAAAATGATGCACATCTAATGATAGAAAAATTTAAAATTACAAGTATTCCAAGGTCTGGGCAATGCTTTGCCCTTATTGTCCTCAAGCCGATAAGCTCCATTGCCTAATACTGAAGTAATTCTGTAGTGTCCTTCCCAGTTTGGGCCAATCTTGCCTTCCCTGGGATCCTTCTTGTTCCCGACGACTTTTCTCAGGACTAGGTCGCCGACTTGAAAATCTCTTGGATTGACCTTCTTGTTGTAAGCTCTGGCAAGTTGTTGCTGGTATATTGCAAGCTGAATTGCAGCTTTCTCTCTTCGTTCTTCCAACAAATCTAGATCTCGGGCTAAGAGTACGTTATTGGTGCCATTCTCTACTCCCCGGGTTCTGATCCTTGGGATGCCGATCTCCAATGGGATGACTGCTTTTGTGCCATAAGCCATGGCAAAGGGGGATTCTCCTGTTGATCTTCTCGGCGTAGTCCGATATGCCCAAAGTACGTTGGGTAACTCGTTTACCCACTTTCCTTTTGCTGCCTGCAGTCTCTTCTTTATTCCATCCAGAATTACTTTGTTGGATGCCTCTTCTTGTCCATTGCTTTGAGGAAAACTTGGTGTTGAGAAATAATTCTTGATCTTGAATTTTGCACAAAAGTTCTTGATGAGTTTGCTGTCAAACTGTGTTCCGTTGTCGGCAACTATTGCTCTTGGAATCCCAAATCTGGTGATTATGTTTCTCGATATAAAATTCTTGACGTCCACATCTCGGATTTTGGCAAGAGGTTCTGCCTCTATCCATTTTGTAAAGTAGTCTGTCGCTACCAGTAAGTATTTTCTTTGCCCAGTTGCCTAGGGAAGTTGTCCAACCAGATCCATCCCCCATTGGGCAAATGGCCAAGGGCTGGATACTGGGTTTAGGTCGGCAGCTGGCTGATGTATCAAAGGTGCAAACCTTTGGCATTGTTCACACTTCTTCACATAGGCTTCGGCATCCTTTTGCATGTAGGGCCACCAATACCCCTGGGTAATGGCCCTGTGGGCTAATGATCTGCCCCCAGCATGGCTTCCACAAATTCCTTCATGAATCTCATAAAGAAAATCTTCAACCTGCAAAGGGTGTACGCACCTTAAAAGAGGCCCAGTGAAGGACCTCCTATAGAGATGGCCTTCTGCTGTTAGACTAA